CAACCAACAAACTTTAAGCTAATGTTTAGTGAGTTCCCCAGAGCATACCCCACATAAACCACATAAATCATATAATCCATATCAATTACATAAGCCATGCATATAAACATATAGGGATGTCATGGACTCCCCCCTGGGTCTTACACCTATGTGTCATGGGCTCCCCCATGGTCTTTACCTGGAATGCCATTGGCTCACCTACATGGTCTGATATCCAAGTGTCATGGCTCCCCCATGGCCTTTACTTGGAATGCCATGGGCTCCCCCACCTGGTCTGATATCCAAGTGTCATGGGCTCCCCTCAGGGTCTTCCATGTAAGTGTCACAAAAACAACTAGCATATCACATACCACATAATCAACTAGCATACCACATAACACATAATGGACCGACCTTGGTGCCTTCGACCCATTGATATGGTGAGGAGACTCACCTCTCAAGGATGTTGAACTAATACGATCAAATCCCAAATCACAGCTCCGAACTCAACTGCCTATAATCATCGTGTGACCAACTTTTTCAAAATCCCGAAACGCTAAAGTTACCCTTAAAGTCAAACTTGGTCAACCATGGTCAAAGTCAAAGTCAAAGTCAAGGTCAACAGTCTGTGTTGACCTAACTCGTTGAGTGCACTTGCTGACTCGTAGAGTTCCTTCGATTCTCAGAAAATCAGGAAAACCATAGTCAACTCGCAGAGTTATCTTATCAATTTTCGATTTTCAACAGTGTCCGGAAGATCGGGAGACCCTCAAGCCAACTCGTCGAGTTCCCTTATGAACTCACCGAGTTCTCTAGTCTGTCAACCCACTTAATGCATTAAGCCCTTTTTCTTGAATCCAAAGGTTCCAAACTTCAGATCCCTAACCATAGAGACGTCTAGGAGGGCAAAGTTTCCAAATTTACCCCTGAGATCGTCTAATAAGCTTTACACCCAAACCCTAACTCCTTTGAAGAGGTTATTGACCCATTAAGCCTCTAACTCTTTGCTTCAACGTTTCATATTGCAGATCTGAGCTTCTAGGGTAGTTTAATCACGTAAACTTCCTAATTTTATGTCCATGCATGGCATTAAGGGGGCTAAAACACTCCAACATTGGTTATTAATAGATTTAGGGCATGAGGGAGGGCCATAACCTAATAAAAACAGCAAACTTACATCCAAATAGGCCATGAGGAGTTCAGATCTGAAGTAACAGCTTCAAACAATTCTCAAGTCCAAGAATGAGCCAAGAATAAGCTAAAATGACACAGAACCCTCTAATGGAGAGATATTGTAAATGAATGATCAAGGTATCAGCTCTACACCTCGATAAGAATGCCTCAACAGTGAAGACACCGGATCTACAATCTCTTTCTTCAGCTATGGACTTCCTCCTTCAAGCCTCTTCAAACAAACATCAATAATGCACTCCTTAAGATCTCGCACACTCACAATGATAGGCAAAGCACGAACTAGGGTTTCTCTAGTCAAAGGGGGTGATGAGGGAGGCTAGGAAAGGTGTTTAAGGGATTTAAATAAGGTACAAACCCTGAAAATTAGGGTTTTCCTTTACAACGTCTACTCGTCGAGTTGGGGCTCCCCAACTTGTCGAGTAGAGTCCTTAGCCCGCGTCTAAATAAATATCTACACAACGAGTTGGATTCCCCCAAATCGTCGAGTTCTAGTCCAAAACCCTAAAATGTTGAGAAATAAATAATATCTGGACTAAGCATTTCAACTTGCTAACTGAGTGTTCTTTGTTGATAGAAAGGGGATTTTTAGCAGATCTAAAGTCAGGGAGTATTTGTGGGTTTCAGCTCTCCGAGGTGATTCTTCTCACTATATCCATGGGGCGAAGGCACCAATAACAACCCATTATGTATTGTGTGATATTCTAGTTGTCTCTGTGATACTTCGATGGAAGACCTCAGGGGTAGCCCGTGACACTTAGATATTAGACCATGGGGGGAGCCCATGACATTTCAGGTAAAGACCATGGGAGGAGCCCATGGCTACGATATGTATGATGCATGATAATATGTGGTTGTATATTGTATGGTATTTTGGGAAACTCACTAAGGTTTATGCTTACGGTTTACAGTTTATGTTTCAGGTTCTCCGGTTTTCAAATGGAAAAGCTCAGGATGATTGCAGGGCACACACCGCATGTTTCCACATTTTGTGAATTACTCTGATTAGATGATGTTTTGTTAAATCTTGGATACCTTGGCTTTATGTAAAAAAAATATATATTAACAATTCGTTAATCTAAAAACAAAAAATTTTATGTCATGATTTTCGGGTAGTTACAATATGTGAATTACATGTGACTCATGTAATTCATATGTGAATTACATGTGATTTACATGTGAATGAATCACATGTAATTCATATGTGATTAATTTGTGATTTACATGTGAATCAGATTTAATTCAAATGCTTAAAGGTTGTTATGTTTAACAAAATCACAATACGAATCTTTTTCATTTACCAAATTACACTACATATGTAATAAGAAGCAATGAAAGGTGAATAAGTTTACTCACCTGACAAAATTAAGCATAATGTCAATATACCTCACTTGTTTATATCTTTGTTTACTAATCTGAATTTGAAAAAACCAAAAAACGATTCTTATATTTTTAGATTTTGTGCATTACAAGCAGCGAAAATGCAAGTCTGCAAGTTGGAGATATATCTTCAACTTACGTTTCTCCCCAACACATATTCCTAATAGTCCCTGGTCCCATCCCATAACACTATTTTTGTTAACGTCCATAATATATAAGAATTGAATTTAAGAACAATTAAAGGATGGTTTTATACCTTTTATCACCTAACCAGTACAATGTTTGAATTCAATTGGCTCGCCCCTTTGAAAGCTCGAATAAAAAACAGTTCCATCGGTAAGTTTCCATGATTAAACGATCACAAGTTAATGCTAGATTGAAACAATAACTTGTTATCAAGCATCTTTTGCTTACACTTGCAAATATATACATACAAATACATTTATTCATTAAGTGATACATAAAAATTGAGATAATAACTCAAAATATTAATTAAGATGTTTTGATAATGTTGCAGATATCAATTTGGAAGAAAGCGAACATGATACTATTGTTTATTTCTCTTGAGGAAGCTTATTGTTTCGTCCTATTCTTTCACATTATTTTGCATTATTCTTCACCTAACCATGTTTGTTCCAAATGCCGAGCTTCCAGCTTGTGTTATCTGCTACTTACTTATGGTCTCTCAGAGCTAATCAAACTCAAAGAACATAAAATATGTTTGTAAAAAGAAGAAAGCAAACAAGATATAAAAGAGAGAGCTTGCACTTGCTTTTTATGTGGGTATTTCATAATCAATATTCCTGCGAGCAATAAATTTTTGTGCGAGTATTTCAGAATCAATATTCTTTCTCTTTCGATTAACCAGGTACATCAATAACAATTGGTTGTAATAATCGATTCTAGATTTGAATCGAATGATTAAGAGCAATATGGAATTGAAGTTGATCATCTTTTGGATATCAATTATCACAAATTTAGCAGTGATGAACTCAGTGAGTGCATCCTCGGTGGAGGATTGGGATATATATTCCACCAGAAGATTATCACGGTGGGAAGGAAAGCTCATTTGACATGAAACTCAGGATTTGGTCACGGTGGGAATGAGAGTCGATTGACAAAAAATCTTCGGAAATCAAAATCATATTTGGAACGATGACTGATTCTAGATCTCGAGGCGGTGATATTGATTTTAAGGGAAATTGACATACTTGATAAAAGAATCACTGGTGGAGGAGGTGGTGGAGATGATGCGACTATGTGACGATCCAACGCCGACAATGAAGGTCACTGAAGGAAGTCGCATCGAGGAAGTCGTTTGTAGGAGAACAATAGATCTGGTGTTGGGGTTGTGTGAAAGAGATGTTTTTCCAAATTCTAATTGATTAGGATATAATTAAATTATATAACTTTTTGTTTCCTATATTAAACCTAACTAGTTTAATTAAATTACCCCCCACCCCCATCTCTTTAGTCTTCCGATTATTTACAGAAACTACATCCTGCATCCTAGCCCTTTTTATTTTTATCCAACATTCCACTTTTAGTTTTCGGGTTTTTGAGAATATATAAGTTTTTAAATGATCATTTATCTCTCTTTCTCTCTCTCTCTCTGTCTCTCTCTCTCTCTCTCTATATATATATATATATATATATATATATATATATATATATATATATATATATATATATATATATATATATATGGAAAAGTGTATATACATTACAGCCCCACCTAAACTTATGTACTAAACCTAATGAAAATACGTTGTTTTACTATATAAATATTGTGATTAGGGGATTCACGATTAACACTTGAAGATGTAGATTCATGATGTACATAATTGTTTTGGTAAGGAAGCAAGAACATTGATTATCTTCGACCTTCGTGATGATGGAAAACAATACTGTTCAGTAGGGTGAAATAATAAACGATAATAGAGAAAAGAAAACAAAGACGGTAAAATGATATTGGAGGGAAGAAATGTTATTGGAGACGATATATTTACCAAGTGAAACCAAATCGAGTATATTTACTAAGTTAAAACGACATATTTTAGAGGTTTAGTACCTAAGCTTAGGTGGGGATGTAATGTATATTCTCTATCCACATATATATATATATATATATATATATATATATATATATATATATATATATATATATATATATATATATATATATATATATATATATATATATAGTATTGTAGCTGTTGGTATCAGAAGAGGATATATATGCATTGCATTACACCTAGGATCTGAAGCCAATGACTGGTTGTCCATGTTATTTACAGGCTTACAGGTTCTTTTGGTTCATGAATCTGGCAAGGTATTAAAAATAACCTACTCCCAGACCCTACCCCTATCTTGTCCACAGTCAAAACACAATACGAATACTATAATCTGTTACACAAGGTATATTTTAGAAAAAAATATATATAACAAGATCTGAATTAATCGTGAATGAAGAATTACACAAAAGAAAATGTAGAAAGTATACATTATCAAATGTCAAGCAAAATATTGGACCCAGATTCTTGTCAATTGTTTAAAGAAATATCCCTTCGTTAGACTGCTCTGACAGCTTCAAACCTTGGTTCTTTAGGGAGAAATTTTAGTTCACTGTATATGGACATGTAGTCGCCAAACACGAACCGGGGGTAATCAAGTTCTTTAATCTCGTCGTTCTCTTTTTCCAGAAGTTCAGTTGCAGGTGCAATGGTTGCATTATAGGACGGATTATAGAACGAAGCTATTGATCTCCTAGTTCTATCTGGCATAGCCTGAACCCTGTGCCAAACACTCTTGTATCTCCCATTGCTCAGAACTTCTACTTGATCGCCAGTATTGATTACAATCGAATGGGGGAGTGGTTGAACGTCAATCCATTTACCATCTTTGAGAATCTCAAGACCTTCGACCTGTTCATCTTGGAAGAGAAGGATGATCCCTCCAGCGTCTGTGTGAGCCCTCAGACCATTCACCATCTCAGGATGAGGGCAAGGTGGATAATGGCTGACCTTGGTCCCAAAAAACGCTGTTTCGCCTTCTCCACCATTGAAAGCCTTCTTAATGTATCCCTTTGGTAGACCCAAGTTCTCATCCATTACTTCCATCAGCTTTTCCGCCAGTTCCTTCAGTTGTGCTCGGTATTCCATCATGGTTTCCCTATTATTCATTATATTCACAAGTTAGACGTTAAAGTTAAGATTATATTTAAAATTTAAATAGTCTTTTGTGTTATTTGTGATACATGGAAAGTAGTATTAATAGACGCTTACTTGAATCCTGGGGTTCCTGATGGCCATTCACTGTCATCCGATAGAAGGAACACATCTTCCCAGTCGATGTTTTCCAGCTTGTCTCCACTCTTCTTTTCGACTAACTCCTTTAACCGTTTTCCGGGTGTTGAGTTGTTGAAAAAGTTTTCTTCCCTCTCTAACTTATAGCACTCGGAGCTTACCTTTTTCACCCTCTCAAGAAGCTCCACAGGAATCCCATGGTTCACCAACTGTAACACACAGCACAATGCAATAATCATTGCAGAAGATATATTAATAAGTGTGATTTCAATTTATAATTTATATACACATGTTAAACTTAGGTAGGTACCTGAAAGAAACCCCATTCTTCACATCCATTTGCTATCTGATCCATTGTTGTAGCTCGCCCTTGGCCATTGAGCATGGAGAAGTCAATCACCGGGATCGGCATTCTTTGGAGAGAAAGCAAGGAAAGGTTTGTATTGTAGTTTGAGTTTGATAATGTAAAGATCTCGTGGTAATGAAAGGTTGGTTATGGTGAAGGCTATTTATAACCTGTGTTCTGTTAATGATATATTAAATATGTCAACTCTTGATATATTATAATGATTTGCAGGGAAGGGTACGTGTTGACTGTTGAGTGCAAAGTAAGGATAATGCTTGTGGTTAGTGAGAGCATTATTAGACAGTTTGCTATGGTAGCCCACATCATAAGCATTCTCTTTCTCTTTCTGGAGGGTAGTGATTGATGATAACTTAAAAAATATGAGTAAAGTTACAATCGTACCCTTAATCAACTGTTCGGACCCAATTTGTACAATGGTATTTTGATGGTTATGGATTCATGACTGGAGCACCTGTAAAAAGTGAACACTTTGATTAAGTAAAATCTGTGTCTACTGCATTTGCAGAGCTGTTTAGTAATTAATTAAAGTACCCTCTTTCTTGTTTATGATCGAAGTATTTACCGACGTAATGTTAGTTGAGTATTCAAATCGTCTTGCAAACCCCTTTTGACTTTGCTTTGTATGAACACATAACATGGTTATGTGGTGTACATATTAAAGTGGTAAACATATCCGCAGGCATAGTTTGAGGGAAAAGATAACCATAATAAATCCTTAGTCAAACCACATAAGTCTCTCTCTCTCTCTCTCACATTTATCACACAATTTTCAGTATAAGGGTATTTTAGTTAATTTACCTATATTAAAGAAAAAACATCATAAATGATCCCTATGGTTAACCAAAATCTGAAGTTTAGTCCCCGTGGTTTAAAAACGTCATAGATGATCCATGTGCTTCCAAAATTTTTGACGATTGATCCTTATTGTTAACTCTGTTAAGTTTTGTCCGTTAACCGAAGGATATTTTTGTCATTTCATTACCACAGGGACCATTTATGATGTTTTCTATTATTATTTTTTTTAAAAAATAATAATAATAATAATAATTTAATATGTAAAAGGTCCTCTCTCTCTCTCTCTCTCTCTCTCTCTCTCTCTCTCTCTCTCTCTCTCTCTCTCTCTCTCTCTCTCTCTCTCTCTCTCTCTCTCTCTTGGAAATTAAACTATCTCTCTCTTGGAAATTAAAAAACTCATACATGCAGATGCATCTTAAAACAGACACATAAAACCCAACAATTGCAAATGCATCATATGAAATCTAGTGAAGAAGAAAGGGATTAAATACCACCCCATGCTACCCCCATCATCCTTTTTTTCTCATTTGATGTCACCTCCCCCATTTCTTTCTAAGCCCAGATCGATGTGTCTCACTTTCATTATCTGAAATCAAACCGTTCTTGAATTTCTCATTTTAGGTAAATCGCTAATATATTCTCTTTCTAGATCCGAATTTGACAGGTAGTGGTGTGACAGAGAGAAACAGAGGGAGTCAAGGTAGCCTGGAAGGTGTTGATTCTTTATTAAGATATGTCGTCACCATAAGAGAGCATTGAAATTTGTAGAAATCATAGAAATTAAGATAAAATTTTGTCTACGCATCGACCGAAGATGAACGCGTAGATCGTATACTAAATTTGGGGGCGACAACATGTAGATTGTATACATCCCGATATCATTCTTCATCTTAGAAGTTAGGATGAAGAAAAACCCAACTTCTGTCTCGGTACTGGGAGGAAGAAAAAACACAGCTTGTATATGTGTCAATCGACACCTCCAGTTCTTGATTTGTCCATCGAATCCGAACCTTTCAGATTTAGGGTTCACCGAGTTCAAGCTTTCTTGATTCAGGGTTCATCAAGCAAGCTTGTATATGTGTTAATCGGCGCCTACTATTATCCTCAATATTTGGACCCACTGTGTATATCTTTCATATCAATAGTTGGATATAGATACAAAGTAGAAGAAGCATACGATGATGATGTATAAGTAAATGTTGATGCTGAATTTAGGTGTGATTGAATTAGATCTAGATACAAATTTCTAGATTTTTTTTAGGTTTTGTGAATCCATTTTTAATCAAGTTACCAGATGGGTATAGATTTTAGATTTGGGGGGATCTTTATGAAGACGAAGTCAGAGAGAGAGAGAGAGAGAGAGAGAGTGTGTGTGTGTGTGTGTGTTAAATAATACATATATTTTTTTAAATAAAACAAAGTAAATAACAAAAATGCCCTTGAATATAATAATAAAATAATAGTTAACAGCCAAAAGCTAACGGAGTTAGCAAAAATGACCAATCGTCAAAAATTTTAGAAGCACAGGGACCATCTATGTCGTTTTTGAACCACGGGGACCGAACTTCAGATTTTGAGTAATCATAGGGACCATTTATGATGTATTTTCTATATAAATATTTTTCCCGAATTTAAGGGATACTTGATTCCTTTATTTTTAAAAATCTTAATATTTTAAATTAATTCAAATTTAAAAATACGATTTTATTCTGTCATAATAACAGAATGCCAACCATGACCTAGTAAATATATTTTCGGTTTTATTGTTGTAGAATACATGTCCAATGCAATTATATTTGGTAATTGACCTGATTTAAGAATAAGATATTAGGCTCTAAGTTATTCTTTATATACATCTAACTTGGGCCTATGATTTTATTTTTAATATACATCTAAAATTATACATATTGTAACAGAATATCATCAAAAATGACAAAATTCTTAAAAATATAGCACTCTTGAATATACAATTATTAAAGAAATACACTTGATCCTCTTCAATGGTCCATATAATCAACTTGATCTTCACATATATATACTTGTTGTTGAACTCGATTCCAAATATTTCTTTTGTATGATTAATATTGAATTTTTTCTCCATGCAATTCTGAAAGAATAAGATACATTACTCGTTAGTATTACCAGTTAAACAAATATACTTGTTGTTAACAAACATTCTCAAACACATTCTAATAGAATGCATTTATATAAATAAATTCTAATAGAATACATTACAAAATGAACTTAAATCATAGTCTTTTCTTCTATATGCATAAATATTCTAAAGTTTGTATAAATGCATTCTGTCAAAATTACTAGAAACACATGTTTTATGTAATATTTATATTCTCATAGAATGAACACGTGTTTGTATTCTGATATGAAAAAAAAAAATAAAGAATAAAATATGAGTTCATTCTTAGAGAATAATCATTGTAAAAGAATAAAATTAATGCTTCAGTTCCTTTTTTGGTTGTCTAGGTTTGATCAATTTGCAGGATTACATGTGAAGAATATTACACTTCTTCATTCTAAAAGAATAGTAGCATTCATTAAACTAAAGCCCTCTTTATTATAAAAGAATATTGCCCTCATTCTGAAAGAATTTACAGGTTAACAAAATGATTTTAATGAGTGTTTTAGTGGATTTACCTGTCTAGTACGACCTGCTTCACTCTTTCATTATAATGATGATTCGGTAATGCCCTCGTATAATTGATTGTCACCAACAACCCCTGACTTGACTCTACAACAAAATCAATCAAATAAAAACTCAAACTCAATCACAGATGATAGCTTGAGAACTAATTTGAATGAAAACCTGTAACTTGAGCTACATTAAATAAATTATGAAGAAATAAACAAAGAAGGATAATAGTTAGGAAATGTCGAGTTGGGAAAAGTTTTCCCCTACACACCACATTCACCTTTCCAGTTTCCATCATGTGGATAAATCTTAAATCAATAGTTGAAACTGGATTCATTGTCATCAGGTTTAACCCAATATTTTTTGTTAAGCATTTCATCGAACATGTGGTGGACCAACAAAAACTCCTACCTAGCCACATCAAAATCTCAAATCCCATACATGTTATACAATCGATAGATGAATAGCTTCTAATTCCTTCAGTTTCTTTAAATTGAAACTGTTACGAGAACCAATATAGGGGGGAAATTGCAAAAAAAGGAGATGAAATTGAGTTATTGATGAAGATAGAAAACGACCATAGAACCATAAAAACCAAAATTGTTAGGTGTAAGACGTGTGCCATTAAAACATCTTGTTCTACGTTATGACATAGGGAGGCAACGTGTCCTAGACCTTCGTCTCCATCATATAGTAAGGGAGGCGTGAGAGCATCAATGGTGATTGGAGCCAAGGGATTAGTCGTTAAGATTGAAGAAAGATATCACAGGAAACACAAGACGTGTACCAGACAGGAAACGAAGGTGAAGGGTAGACATCAGCAACGATCCTCGGGGTTGGGGGTGGTGTCTCTTGGTGGCTTAAGCGAAGGCAATAGCCTCCTCATTTTGATTTCATCCCCTCTATAGGTGAAAAAGAAGAACCGTAGGAAATATAAGAGAGGATATAAGATAGAGAGAGACTAGGTCAAATATATTTACTTTATTTCCTTAATTGCATGATTTCAATTAAATGATTTCTTTAATTAAAAGTACAAAAGGTGTTGGGTCAAAAATATGGTTTATACTTTACTTTTCTAGGCAATTATTTTTATGTAATATTTTATTAATTTATGGTCTAGTTTACGGCCGTAAACACCTTACGGCCGTAAACTCGTTTACGGCCCAAATGTTTCCGGCCCATGTTCCCTAGTATAAATAAAGGTGTTAGGGTGAGGAGTAGAGGATTGATGAACACGAAGTAGTTTACGGCCAGAGAGAGAAATCGTGTGTGAATCTTTTGTATCCGGATTATAATTCATATCAATACATACAAGATTCATATCAATCTTCTTCTCCTTCTCTTCTATTTGATCTGAAATCATCTGTTTGATTGGGATTCTGCACCATCAAACGGATTTGACTGATACACAGGCAAATTAAGGACTTACAATTGGTATCAGAGCCAAGTTGTATCAGTCAAAAGGTTTTACAATTCATTTGGAATCTGAATATTCTATGTTTACGGTCCAAGCTTACGGTCGTAAACACCGAGTTCTTGGGTCGTATACTCTATTTGGGGCAATATTTGATCTTATTTTCAAAATATTTTCGCGTTTCTGGATAGATCTCGCAAAAATAAAGGGGGTTTGTTCTTTGTATTTTTCATAAAAAGGGGTTTTTGATTGAGTTTTGGAGCTTGGAAGTCGAATTTTCACGTAATCTTAAACTGTT